ATACAGTGTTATTGCCAGTGCTGACAACTGACAGACAGTGTCCAGTGTCCTGGATGCCAAATTCCTAATGCCTCAAATCTTTTTCCTATGGGAATAAGAGAACAGTAATTCTTCCCCCATGAGCAGACACAGACACGGTAGAGGAGGTCTTTCAGTAGCCGCCTGAATGTAAGGATTATCAGAGGAGTTATAAGGAGATAACGGGAAGTGGTCTGCTCCATGGCTGCAGATGGGACAGAGGATATGGGGCCAGCGAGGGAGGCAGTGAGGTGGGAGGAAGCATCCCTGGGACCTGCTGTGGGTGTTGGGAGAGAGTTGTCTCTAAAATGGAGAGGAGCTCAAGGTAGCAGGATGAGGGCTTTAGGAGAAAGGAGAAATTAGATCTAAGTTGGGAGTGAGGTGCAGGGGGCTTGACTGCAAAAAGATTTCAGGGACAAAAGAATGTGAAAGCTTGAATCAAAGCAGCTGAAAGATTGGCTTTAATATCTGCTTAGATTAAAAATAAAAGTCTGTATGGATTAAGAGATAATCCACTAGATAGATTTAATCTGCCACATGTATTACTTCCCCAAAGAAAAGCATTGGGAGGAGAAGGTTGGTTTGGCTCAGTGCCCAGGATTTAAAGGCAGGTGATATATTCTCCTTTCTTCTGCAGGCCCCCTTTTCACTTGTCCCGAAGCATGCATCCTGCCCAAGGGGAGGGACTGTTGCTGTATGCCTCCTGCTTCTTTGCAACTCCAAAGTCACATTGAATCTAACTAAAGGGGTTTCTCAAGCAGAAAAGAGTACCAAGAGCAAAATAACACAGCAATGACTAATAGGATAGGCACGGGGTAGGTTCAGATGCTGATGGTGTTTTTGGCTGTCTGAGTGCAGGGTTCTGAGGGCCATTTCATTAACACTTACCCCTCCTGTCCTGATTGCAATTGCCTTTCAAACAAATGCCACTCAGTAACACACTACCTAAATGGAGGTTGAGGTCTGAATGCTACCTTGCTTCAAATGCTTTGCCCCTGAAATCCTTGGCAACAAGCCCTCTCCATCCCTTCATGTTTCCTTTCTTTAAAAACACCAGGTTGACTCCTTGGAGTAATTTCAGTTTCCCCAGCAGTAGAAATAAAGTTGCTGGAGGACACTTGAACATGGGGGGGGGGCGTTCCATGTATTTTTCAGTATCAATATGGTATATTGTCTTTTTTAACTAACACATGCAACTGTATCTTGAACTGTACATGCATAACAGTCATGCACTTTTAGGAGCCTGCACATGTGATGGAATCATAGAATCGTTTAGGTTGGAAAAGACCTCTAAGACCATCAAGTCCAACCTAGCACTGCCAAGTCCACCACTAAGCCATGTCCCTAAGTGCCACATCTACACGTCTTAAATACCTCACATTAAGTTGTACATACTTTTGGTGAAGAAATTTTTCCTAATATCCAATATAAACCTCCCCTGGTGCAACTTGAGGCTGTTTCCTCTTGTCCTTTCACTTGTTACTTGGGAGAAGAGACCAACACCCACCTCGCTACAACCTCCTTTCAGGTAGTTGTAGAGCGCGATGAGATCTCCCCTCAGCCTCCTTTTCTCCAGGCTAATCCAGCCCAATTCCCTCAGCTGCTCCTCATAAGACTTGTGCTCTAGACCCTTCACCAGCTTTGTTGCCCTTCTTTGGATGTGCTCCAGCACCTCAATGTCTGTCTTGTAGTGAGGGGCCCAAAACTGAACACAGTATTTGAGGTGTGGCCTCACCAGTGCCGAGTACAGGGGCACGATCACCTCCCTACTCCTGCTGGCCACACTATTTCTGATACAATTTTCTGATGGAATTTGGATTAGTTGGATTGAAGTGGTTTAATATTTTTTTTCATAGTCCTCTTGCTCAGAAACAAATAAATTAATTCTGTAGACTGGTGTGTATTCCTTCTGTGTTGTGTGCCTGCATTTGTACCACCTCAGGTGAAGGTTTTTGGCATATCTTCTAAGGTCAGTGGGATTTGGCCTGGCTAATCCTAGAGTAGGAGATCACAGGAGAAAGTATAGGGTGCCTCAGAGAAGAGCCATCATGGTTTGAAACACCTGAGCTGGCACTGGACAACTTCCCCAGCTTGTGCTGGGAGCAGGCCATCTGCCTGATACTGTCCTTTTATTGGTGAATGTAATCACTCTCGGTTATATTTGGTGGGCAGTAGGGATGGATGAAGCTATAGATGTCTTCCCTCTTTCTTCTCCATTACTGTTGCAGCTAGGGGACAGTACTTGCCAGTCATGCTCTGTCTTTAGGGATGCCTCCTTTTCAGAGAGGTTCCAGCAAACCTTAAATGAAAAAAATGTACATGGCACTGTGGACTGAGAGGTGCTGTGCTTTCTATTCTTCCCCTGATGCTGTCCGTGTGCTACAGGAGGTGTTAGTACTCTAGCACCAAGAAGCACTTTGTAATAGCCAATGCTAGCATGCTGTTTGGTGGGGGCGTAAAGGGAGTTGTGGCACCATTCCTCTCCTAAACCAGGTGTCTTAGAGGATGAATGTTAGATGTGGAAGTGGTTAAGGGTGAAACGTAAGGATAACTGGGATTCCTCAAAAACTCCTTTGCTTCTAAACAGCTAGCGAAAGAGTGAGTGTGGGAAGGGAGAGGAAGAGGTGTTACCTGGCGAAGCAGTGCAGATGACATGGGGCAGGAAAGGTAGTGAGGGAAGCGTTTGACTGCCTCACTCGATCCACTCACATTCATGGAGTGGGAGGGAGGAGAATGGTTACTGGTTTCCAGGCCCGAGCTTGCGTAACTACTTGCTTAACATTTCCTTCTGGGAGAGGAACATGTGCCTGGTCAGCCCCTGAGAATTGTGTCTGGGAGTCAGCAGGGTACTGGCTAAAAAGCAATCGATCTTGCTTTCATTTGGAGCTTCAGGAAGGCTTTGTTGAGCTCTCCTAGGAGAGGGGTCTGCTCACAGGTGAGAGGGAAAATTGCATCATTGATTTGAGGGAGAGAGGCAAAGCAGAAATAAATGGCCAATTTTTTTCAGCTTTGAAGGAAGTAAAAATAGTCAGATGCCCCCAGGAGCAGGGCTGGAAATAGTGTCAATCAATACAATTATGAAACATCTAGAAAAGAGGTGAACTGTGAGGTGGGAAAATTTGCTGGGGAGAGCAGTTAGGGAAGACTTACGTCCTTCAGAGGCATCTCATACTTCAGCAAAACAAGGCGATGGGACAGCCCTGTGACACATGAAATTTGCTGCAGACAGGTGCTAGGAAATGCACACTGAAAGGAACAAGAGAAGCTACTCTGAGAACCTATCAAGTGTGTAAGTGATGTGGACTTACTCCACTGAGACAGAGGGAGGGTGTGGGAAGGAAATCATGAACAGATTTGTACTTAGTGTTGGTACAAAATACAAGCTGTTAGGCTTTATTTAAAATAAAAGGATGGGGAAAGGGAGAATAATTCTGTGAGGGAGAATCTCATGAGGTTCAGTTTTGCTCATCTCTCACTCCAAAGAGAATAAAGTAGAAACAGGCTGTGTGCTCTCCTGCCATATGCATAAGGAAGGATTTTCATGCCTCCAGAAAGAGAGGAGCATGGCTATAAACAAACAGAAACACTTAAAGCTGTTTAGATAAAGAAGTGGGGGTCTTTCAGAATGATACAAGGTGAATAGGCTGCTTGTACTTGCTGTTTTTTCACTACCTACGATGGGGGGGCTTTAGCGGAGTCCATTTCTCTACTGTAATAGGGAATGTGCTGCACAGAGTGAAAATACTTGAAAAGGCAGGTTTGGTACAATTTGAAAATGAGAATCATGTATCACTACTGATGTCAGATTTGTTACTAAAAGGAATTATACAGAGTGGGGAAAAAAAGCATGGGAGCTCTCAGAAGCAAAGAGGGACTTTTGGTGAAATTTAAAGACAATACTTGAGATTGATTTTTACAGGTACAAAATGATCCGACGGAACTCTTTGTTACAAAATATTGCTGAAGTGGAGCACTATCTCTCCTCATGGGTTGTGTAGCCATAAAAATACTCTTTGCTGGTTTCATTAGAGGGGTGAAGATTCAGAACAATTTTCAGCTTTTGAGCTTGAAGCTAGGGAGATCCTGCTAGTTATGCATGGGGAAGGAAGGTCCCTTCTGAGAAGGTGACTCCATAGTTACCTGTAGCTGATGCCTGGTTCTGATGTCCCTCCTAGCTTCTGGTTGAGCCTGTGTGACAGTTCCTGCAGCGTGGTAGCGACTGTGCATGGCATGCTGGCAGTTTCAGTCGTGCCCCTGGCTGCAAGGCGTCTGCTATAACCTTTGTGGGAAAGGAATATGTCCACGTGGTGAATGCAGAGGTACTTAACCAGTGACCGCTATCCCATGCTGCCACAGAGTGCTTTTCACCTCAGTCCCAAAGCGTTTTGATGCTGATCTAGTTATGCAAAAATTATGCAAGTTAGGGTGCTTTATTGCTCCAAATGAGGACCTAATGTTGTTTTAACTGATGTGGAAACCAAATCACAAAGCTGCAAAGCAACATGGAAGAAGTTATGCAACAAACTGCTGGTATAGTAGAGGACAGGATAAGCCTTGTGAGTCCTGAACTCAGCTCATTAGCATGTGTTGCCTTTCATTTTTAACAAGTCATTTTTATTACAAATATGTTGGCAGTTGATAACTGGCTGTGGCTTTCTCGTCAGCAGTACCTGCAGAGACACCTAGGCTTGTGGCACTCTGGTGTCACAAAAAAGCTGCAGTTTTCCATCTTTCTGTGCTGTGCCTCAAACAGCCGCGGGAATGTTGTGCTGTGAGTCACGGACTAGACCTACCTTCATGTCAGAGTACATAAAACTCTCAGTGGGACCGAGACAAGTGTATCTCAACCAGCGCTATTTTGCCCTATGAAACAATCCAGTCCACCGAGGTTCACTTCCTTCCCTGAGGGCCTGAGCACTGGCTGTTGCCAAAAAATCTCTGGCTCTGGATTCTTCATCTTGAGAAAGGTGTTTGCCTCCTAGGATCTCTCAGCGGGTGGAGGCCAGCCGGGCACAGCTTCAGGCAATCGGTGAGAGAGTCACACTCGCCCAAGCGAAGATTGAGAAGATAAAGGGGAGCAAGAAGGCTATTAAGGTAGTGACTTCAGCGAAGGCTGCATGGCCTCCCTTCTTCCTTCCACTTTCTCTCTTTACTCCTGATGTAAGCTCTGGAGAAGAACAGGTGCTCGGCTGCTGCCCGCTCACCTCTCCATGCCTTGCTGCTGAGCAAGGTTGTGATGAGAATCCCCTTCCTGACTCGGCCAGTTGATGATTTTTAGACCCGTGAGCCACACAGTTCCTGGCCTTATAAGGCCTGTATAAGTTGCTGCCCCAGCTTCTCCCTAAGAAAGAGAGAAGGCATGTGCTGAGCTAAGCCCAACTCCCTCTCACTTCAAGCTCATAGACACTTTGGCTATTTGAATGAAATCTGCTGTTAGAGAGCCTCCCCTTAGTGCATCTTAATCTTGTTGAGCCATATAAAACTGGTGAAAACTCTTCTTTCCCTGTTCTTCCTCCATTTAATACAGTGTTTCAAATTCCCTTTCTGCCAGGGGAAGCCTATGATCTCCTAGCACTAGAGAGAAGTTTTGGCGCTTTTACTTTCTGAAGTGACAGCCCATGCATGATTGGGTCCATGCAGGTAGCCCTTAGGAGCCTGTTGACTCCAAGGCTGTCCATTCCCACCAGCAGCACAGATTGTGCGCTTACTCCACTCCATGTGTTTCTGTAGTCTAGGATTGCTTAGTTGTTGGGATTTTTCAGTCCCTCCTTGTCTCTCCACAGGTATTTTCCAGTGCCAAGTATCCAGCCCCTGAACGACTGCAGGAGTACAGTTCAATTTTTGCTGGTGCAGAAGACCCAGGTAAACAGAAATGGCCAAGACACAAGATTCAGAGCAAACACCGAGTGCTGGATGAGAAAGCTCTGCAGGTAAGGAGGAGGAGAACAGACCTTGAGATGAACAAGGAAAGAGAAGCTAGGAGGCTGTTAGTCTCTTTTGTGAAGTAGACCAGGGCTTTAGAATATAGGCTGGGAGCAGAACATCTTTTCAGCTTGGCCTGTTGGCAGGGGTGTGTGAGGTTAGGCTGGGAAGCTTGCAGAGCTGCTGGTTTGAGAGGGCCATGTCAGTACAAGACCTTGGCGCGGTGGTTGAGTGCTCTGGGTGGCTGCAGGCTGCCAACTCTCCAGAGCAGTTCCATTTACTGAAACTCTGCTGTTTCCCGCAGCGGTGCTGGTGGGTGCTGCTGGCTGGCCTTAAGGCTTCAGCTGTGCGTAGCAAGGCAGCTGGGATCGGGGTCATAATTGTTTGAAAAATAGTTTCTGAAGGCTCTAATATAAGCAATGGTGAGAAGGGAAAGGTAAAAGTGCTTGTGAGTGTGTCAGGAGAAAAAGAAGTCATTAGAGCATTTTTCTGTCCCAGGAAAGCAACACACTTGGATATTGTCCCTTCCTGGTTCCCAGCTAAGTTTTACATCTTGGAGGGGAAGATCATTTTGCTTCTTTACATCTTTTGTTTGTGCTTTGCTTCTCCTTTGCCTTGTGTTCAGCTATTGTAGGTTGCAAGCCCTTCAGAGAGGGGCTGAATCTCTCAGTACCCAGCACAGTTGGGGCTTCCAGGTATGTCCATAGCACAGATGTTTGCAGCTGGTGGTGTTGAAGGAGGTCCTGAAGTATTGAGTTCCTTTTAGCCTGTGGATTGAGTGGCAGAGGGAGGCTTCTTAGGGAGGTCTGAGAAGTGGTGGGTTTGGCAGGAAATGCTACCAAAGGAGTCTCCAACAATTCGGGTCAACATCCCCATCTTGGAAGGAGGGGAGGAAGAGTTGCTGTGTTTGAAGTTTAAAAGTTTCTGTGTATGTGCTGTGCCAGGAGTAGCAGATGTACTCTTCCTGATTAGGGATCAACCTGACAACTTCCCTGCTCTCCACCCCTAAAGAGACTTCCTTCCTCATCCTTGTGTGCCTTGGCCCAAATAAAACTGCCACTGAATAATTTATCATGCTAAACTTTTCTGAGTTTTAATAGAGTTGAGACCTCACACAGTGAGGTAGTTATGAATATTTCAGCCAGGCCAGGGAAGCAGGGTTGCTGGCCGAATGGACAGCTGGCAAACTCGAGCAGGGTTCGTGCTTCCTTCAAGCCCTGGCAGTAGCACAGGGCAGAGCTGCGTAGGACCTGCTGCTGGCCAGGCAGGGGAGGCCAATTACAGTTGTGCTGTCTGGCTGGTGGCCCCATCCCGTCAGAGCCAGGGGGGGGGAGCAGAGGTAGGCAGTGAGTGGGCAGGGGAGATGCTCTCCCACCCTGAAGGGCTGGTGCCAGTGTACAGCCCCTCGCACAGGGAGGGGATTGAGAAGAGCATCAGCTGGTAAAAAGCAGCGTCCTGCAAAGAGCAAATGGTGTGCCCATCCGACTGGTCTGCTGGCTCCAGTAGGCTCTGCGTGCCCTTCCCTGCTGCCCCTGCCATCTGCCTACGATGCCACCTCTTCCCTGTCCCAGGCAGTCTCTGTACCATTGCCATGTTCTGCCCTGTGTGACCAAGGCTGCCATCACCACAGGGACTTTGTTGCAGGCCCCAGGGGATGTTTGTATTTGTTCCTCCCCTCCTGTGACCCATCTTTCGATCCTCCTTTGGGGTTGTTGATCTTTCTCTGGCTTTGCTGACCCTACCTCATGCAGGGATCTTGTTACTCTTGCCAAGCTCACGCACACTAGCTCCTGCAGCTCTTCTGTGGGGCAGGGGGACGCTGCTGTGCTGGCGAGTGGCTGTCAGCTGGTGAATGATGGAGGGGCCTGCACCAGGAGCAGCTGGTGTGCTGAGCGGGGCTCAGTGCGGCCGAGCTCTGATCATGTTCCAGGGGGACAGGCCCTTCTCGGCCATAGCTGAGCACGGAGCCTCACGTGCCTTGCAGTAATGAAATGTGACAGTGGGAAGTCTAATGGTTGCATTTATGCCCTCCTCAATTATTCAGGGCTTTCAGCAGAGGCTCGCTGCCTCTTTTCACTTCTCATGAGGGCTTCTTTGCTGGGAGCAGTCGCAGTGGCCTTTGCTAACTTCACTTGCATACGCACACACACGCCCCACCAGGAAAGCAAACTCTTGCTTGTGTTTGAGGGTAAGTGGTGGCAGGCTGTGCTCAGTGTTTAGGGTTTCTGCTCTGGGGGGAAAGCAGCTGAGTTGGAAATGTGCGTGGTTCTGCAGTTTATTTAAAAATGTTTCCCTCCTGGGAAATTCTCCTTTCCCCCTCCACACCCCAAGCAAGTGAAAACTCAGTTGTTGAGAGGATGCTGTTTAGGTTAATAAGATAAGCACTCATGGATAAGAGTGCCAGAAACAGGGTCATTGTTGTAAGCCTGGAAAGCCACTTGTTTTGCATGTTGCTGTGGTAGCAGCTAGGCAGGGTTCAACAGTGAGTCGGCTGCAGCCCTGTAGGGCTTCTTAGGTGCTGGGCACTGCCTTTGCGGTGGGACCTGTGTCCGGGTGATGCAAGTGCCCCTCAGGAGGCTGGAAAACGGGGTGGGAGACATGGTCTGCCTGGGCTTGGGAACAGGTCCAAGCAAAAGTTACAGTCCACCGCTGGAGTAACCTTGCTAGGCTTCAAAAATGTCAGTAACTTGGCATGTCCTTGTGAATTCTGCCCCTCTTGGAGTCCACTGTGGGCATGGGGAGGCTAAACCAGGTTTTTGACACTTGCTCATCTTCAAGTGCTTTTCCAGCTAGCCTCAACACTCCATTGGCAAGGGGGGAATGGGGTTTCTGGTGTATCACACCAATTCCTTTTGTAATAGGGATGTAGTGTGTGCTTAATTAAATTTAAGAACCAGGGTGACTTTATATATTTTTAACTGTAGGCTTTTAGAAAGAAAAATGCCTGGAAATGCAGCGTCCTTAGGGGTTTGATCCTGTCAGGTGCCAAACCCCAGGTTGGGGTGTTTGAGCATTCAGGTGCCCCCCATATGACTTCAGTATGTCGAGGTTGCTGAACCTTTGGCTTAAGCCCTTAATGTCCCTATAAGAAAACTGATTTTTGAATGGCATCTTACCTTGTGGAATTCACAGTTGCAGGATATTATTGACGGTATGTAGCTGTTCTAAACTTCAAAACAGGTCTAGGTACTTGAATAAGACTAGCACTTTGGTGGCATTTAAATTAAAAGGATTATGTAGAGCCTCACATTTCAGAGTAATACTCATGCTTAGTGCTTTTATAACAGCCTTAGATGAGACTTATAAGTAAATGTAGGTAATGGTTGGTTTCTCACTACGCCCTTAAAGTGACACACAGTCTTCCAGTGCTAATTGAAATCTACAAAGAGAGAATTAAAAATATATATATATGACTTGAGGGCTAAGTGTGTGAACAGTTCTAGCAAAAAAGTCAGTACTCCCTCATGCTTAAAAAATTAAACATTAGGAAATGAATATTAATGATCAAAAGAACCTTTATTTTTGAATCTCTGCTTCTACAGTCTCTAAATAACAATTTATATATTTTTGCCTACTTGCTTCTGTAAAAATTCAAGATGTTTATTTCAGTGTATTTTTCACAAGTTGGAACATGTTATTTGGGGGGGAAAAATTAAATCAAAACCTCCCAGGTCTTTTCTTACAGCGTTTTATAGACTCAGAGCATCATACAAACTCTGAGTGGATTAACTGAGCTGTGACTAAGCCATTTCCCAGGATTGCTGGCTACCAAATTCAAGCCTGAAATTTCAATCAGCAGAAACTGCTTATGTTGCTGAGATGTGGTCTTAAAACTGAACCAATGGTGGTCTCCATTTCCCCCATACAAGTACAAGGAGGGAAAAAGGACTCAGAGACTGGGATAGAGCAGGGATGCTGGAAGTAGTGAGGCAGTAGGAAGCTGTGGACAGTATTTGAAGTGGTCATCTTCTGGTGCCAGAAGAAAACCTCAAGTGTGGCCAATTATTTAACCTGACAAACTGTCCTGGTTAGTGCTCTGGTTTCTTCTGGTATAAACACTTACCACAGCTGCCAGGCTGCTGCTTGTCCTAGTTTGTGAAGAAGGAACAGGAGCTGTGAAGGGGCTGAGGAAGGGTGTGGGGAGGGGTCTGGGCTGGAGGTTCATCCATCCCGGGCTGCCTCTGCGTTCACAGACTGATGCCTTTCCTCCCTCTACAGCAAAGCTTGCTGTGGGCACTGAGCTTCATCCCCCAGAGCATCTGGCAGCGGGCGCTGTCATGCTAGCTGAAACACTGGTCTGATCTGGGATGGCAATTCCTGTGCTCTATAAAAGTCAAGTAGTTCAGATGTAATAAGTCCTTTTCTAAAGGGAGCTCTATATATTATGCATGAAGTTTTAGAACCGAGAGAGAGGAGATTTCAGTTCATTAGAGTTGAAAACTCCTGCAAATCCCTCAGGCTTTGCAAAACCATCTGGCACACATTCAACCCTGCGCACTCCCTTCTGCCTGATCTCTTGCCTAGTGCAGGCACTCTGTTTTTTCCTAACCTCTTTTTCCTTTGCCTTCCCTGCATACCCCATCGGTGGGATCACATCACTTAAAACATCAACTGAAGGCAGCAGAGGCGAGGTAATAGAGATGTTTGGGGGACTCTGCCTGCATGAAAATTTCTAGTAGTTGGAGACACGGTAACAACTGCCTTTTTGACTGCGGTGCTTCATCCCTGCCTCTGGCTGTAGAGCCCAAGTGGTTGTTTTATTCTGGTGGATCCTTGCCACAGCATCACCTGTTCAATATGACCCATCTGTGGCACCAAAAGCACATGCCATGAGTCTGAACTGCTGAGATTTGTCATGAGTGTGGGGTTGCAATGTCGTCCATGTGCTTCCTTGCTCAAAGGGAGGTAGAGAGGGAGCGGTAGGGATCCCAGACCATGCAGTGGATCCAGCAGTGTGGGTTGTGGTGGCTGGGGAGAACTGTTTCAGCAGCTGTGATTTTAGTGTGTTGCTACACCTGTTATTTGTCTTCTTGCAGGAGAAGCTCAAGTATTTCCCTGTGTGCGTGAGCACCAAAATTCACCAGGAGGATGATGCAGAAGAAGGCCTTGGCAGCCTCCCCAGGAACATCAGCTCCCTCAGCTCCCTGCTGCTATTCAACACCACTGAGAACCTGTGAGAGCTGGAGCAGCACCGTGCTGCTCACCTGCCCCTGCTTGTCCTCAGAGTAGCTCTCCCTGCCCCAGGGGCAGCAGTGGCTGCTTGCTTTCCTGGGGGTCTTGCATATCAGGCTCCGTAGGACAGGGTTTCGTACCTCTCCACTGGCTTCCAGCTAGCAACCCTTTCTTCCTCACTCTTCCCCTTGGGTGGAAGGAGTTGTTTGGTCTGCACCTGATCCTCCACTCACCTGCTTTCAACCCAACTTTGCACTTCCCTTGCCTGTTTTTCCTGTCATACCCCTGCAATAATTTCTCTCTGGCCTTGAAAGCTGCTGTCACTCCTGCCCTTCTCTGCCATATGTGCCTGCCTAGGTTCTGCTCCTTCTCCCGATGGTTCCTCGCAGCAGCACTTTACTGCTGTTGCTGCTTTAATGTCTCCACTGCCTTTCACTGCAGTTCCCTTTCCCATTGGGCTTTGCCGCATGGTTCCTCCTCCTGCCCGTACTGAAGAGCTTCTTTAAGCCCTTCTCGAGCTTTCAGCTGCTGCACCTCCTCTTTATT